CATGATCCCATAATCCCATGATCCCAAAGCCCCAGGGAACTGTGGGACAGTGGATTGTCCATCAAGAAGGGATATGGACACGATCCCATAATCCCACGATCCCATAATCCCAGGAAATCACGGGACAGGAATGACGCTGTGGGTGGTCTGTGCAGAAGGGACAGGGACACGATCCCACGATCCCGTGATCCCAAAATCCCAGGAAATCGTGGGACAGGGATAACGCTTCGGATGATCCGTGCAGAAGGGACATGGACATGATCCATGATCCCACAATCCCATAATCCTGTGATCCCATCATCCCACGATCCCACAATCCCGTGATCCCCAAATCCCACAATCCCACGATCCCACGATCCCACAATCCCAGGAAATCCTGGGACAGGGATAACGCTGTGGATGATCCGTGCAGAAGGGACACCAACATGATCCCAAAATCCCACAATCCCATAATCCTGTGATCCCGTGATCCCATGATCCCACGATCCCACAATCCCAGGAAACCCTGGGACAGGGATAACGCTGTGGATGATCTGTGCAGAAGGGACACCAACATGATCCCATAATCCCGTAATCCCATAATCCCAGGAAATCCCAGGACAGGGATAACACTTCGGATGATGCATGCAGAAAGGACACGGACATGACCCCATAATCCCACAATCCCATAATCCCGTTATCCCATAATCCCACAATCCCAAAATCCCATAATCCCATGATCCAGTGATCCCACAATCCCAGGAAATCCCGGAACAGGGATAACGCTGTGGATGATCCGTGCAGAAGGGACACGATCCCATGATCCCAGCGGATCCCAGCGGATCCCAGCGGATCCCCGCTCCCCCCACCCCGGCATTTCCCGTCTCCAACCCCCCGGAACCGAGCGGCTCCTTCCCAGCCCATCCCACACGGGAATTCCCCGCGGAATCGGGGAAAACCCACGGATCCCAGGATCTCCGGCACCGGGAATCTGCGCTCCTGGATCCATCCCCATCCTCCCCATCCCACCTCAGATCCCAAAATCCCGAATCTCCTGGAGCTGCAATCCAGCTTTTCATTCCCAGATCCCACAAATCCTCCAGGCCCCTCCCTTTTTTCCAAGCTTGGAGAAAAACCCGGATTTGGTGGGGGGTTTTTTTCCCAGTCTGTTTTCCTTCCTGGAGAACCGACTGGGAAAACTTTCCGGGAAGGTTTTTCCGAGTGAAATCCGGGAATTCATCCCGGAATTCATCCCAGATCCGGGAGCTCCTGGATGGGAAAGCCGTGGCCGCTCCGGGGCGGGGTTGGGTTTTCCCGGGAGCCGAGAAAATCTGGGAATTATGGAATTCTTTGGGTAGGGAAATCTCTTAGAGATGGATTCCGGCCCTTCGAGGCCAAGCCTGGTTTTTGCGGGATCCACACGGATTTGAATCCATCCGGGAACGAGGAAAATCCTTCCCACGCAGGAATTATTCCCAAAAATCCCAGAAACCTCCGGGCCGTTCCCTCTCATCCCATCCCTCCTTCCCTGGGAGCAGATCCCGATCCCGCCTGGCAGGGAATTCCAGAGGCAGCAGCTCCCTCGGGATCCTCCTTTTTTTCTCCTTTTCCCAGGCCGAGTTTTCCCAGCTCCCTCAAACCCTGGGAATGAGGAGCCGCCACCCCAAACTCATCCCAACTTTTTTGTTTTCCCGGGAAAGCCCCACTGGGGGCGGGAACCCCGATCCCATTCCCGCTATCCCAACCCTTCCCAAGGAAATTCCAGAGGACGGGATTTGGCAGGATTTTGGTTTATGGGAATAAAACTGGGAAAAACTGCGGGAAAAACGCTGGGGAAAAGCCCGAAGCGCCCGGCTCCCCACCGGAAGCGCAAACCCGACGGAGCCGACGGAAAACTCGGGAAAAACGCGGCTGGAAGAGGCGTCCTTCTCCAGCTTCGTCCCATCCCATCCCATCCCATCCCATCCCACCCCAGGGATTCCCGTCCGTCCATCCCCGCATTCCGCAGGCTCCGGAAGCGGCTCCCGCGCCTTAAATCCACTCTTCCCTACGGAGGCCGCAGGATAAATGCCCCTTGGAATTCCCTGTTGGAATTCCCTGTTGGAGATCCCGGTTGGAAATCCCGGTTGGAAATCCCGGTTGGAAATCCCAACTGGAATTTTTGTTGGAATCCCGGTTGGAATCCCCATTGGAAATCCCAGTTGGAATCTCAGTTGGAATTCCCGGTTGAAAATCCTGGTTGGAAATCCCAGTTGGAATTTTTGTTGGAATCCTGGCTGGAAATCCCGGTTGGAATCCCAATTGGAATTTTCATTGGAATTCTCAGCTGGAATCCCCGGTTTGAAATCCCAGTTGGGAATCCCAGTTGGAATCCCCAGTTGGAAATCCCAGTTGGAATCCCCAGTTGGAAATCCTGGTTGGAATCCCAACTGGAACTTTCATTGGAATCCTGGTTTGAAATCCCGGTTTGAAATCCCAGTTGGAATCCCCGGTTGGAATTCCCCGTTGGAATTCCCGTTTTACCCCCCGGGGCTCCCGGCACGCTCCGGGTCTCCTTTTCCCGCCGTGCCGCCCGCGCTCAGGGAACGGATCTGAGGATCTCCCCGCCCCACTCCCTTTCCTGGGAAAACCCCTCCTTTTCCCAGGAAAACCCCTCTCTTTTTCCCAGGAAAACCCCTCTCTTTTTCCCGGGTAAACCCCTCTCTTTTTCCCGGGAAAACCCCTCTCTTTTTCCAGGAAAACCCCTTCTTTTCCCAGGAAAACCCCTCTCTTTTCACAGGAAATCCCCTCTCTTTTTCCCGGGTAAACCCCTCTCTTTTCCCAGGAAAAACCCCTTCATTTCCCGGGAAAACCCCTCTCTTTTCCCCCAGGAAAACCCCTTCTTTTTCCGGGAAAACCTCTCTTTTTCTCCTGGGAAAACCCCTTCTTTTCCTGGGGAAAACTCGTTCTTTTCCCAGGAAAACCCCTCTCTTTTTCCCGGGAAAACCCCTCTCTTTTTCCCGGGAAAACCCCCTCTCTTTTTCCCGGGAAAACCCCTCTCTTTTTC